GTTATCTTTTGAAAAATGCACCCCCAACGCCGAACTCGCGCTTGTCTCACAGCAGACTGATGCCGCAGACGTGATGAATTTTGTTGGTGTATCAGGCGAAGGCTATAGGAACGTATTGAACATGTTTCAAATTCTAATTGTGCCTTTTTTACGAGTCTAGTATCAATGGAATCTATTTTGAAAGAGGATCGTACGGCCCTTGGGGGGGGGGGGGGGGGGGGGGGGGGGAGGGCGGGGCGTTAGAGGGTTAAATGTGAGATTAGTTAAATAGTAGAAGATCCCGTAAACAGTAATAACTTTTAATAATATTGATTGAATAAAAATTGACTTGAGTTGCGTTAATGGCCTCAAACTTGAGGACTCTTCTGAAACATAAATGCTATTGATCCCAAATAGAGACGCGCGAGGGGAAGGCAGTTTTGAGATGGACACAGAGCAAACGTTTATTGGTAAGTACATCCAATTGACGTAAGTAGCATTTGCGCAAATAACACTCCTGATTGTCCATTAAAGTTAATGGAACACGTGACACTATTAGCGCAATTCAGCTAGGTAAACTAACACTGTTCCATCGATATTAGTGCGCATAAAATGTATACATTTTTAAATTTGTCCCTAAATAAAGTACCATTCAATGAATGTATTCCACAATTTAAAATTATTTAGTAATTAAAAAGAATGAAGTTAGTACTCAAACGCTCTTCCTATGTACAGTCTAACGAGAAATGGTGCTTTCTAAGTGGCATTGGCAACATATACTCGGCAAAGAAGCCAATAGACAGGCAGTTGACTTCTGGCTTCAAATTACCATAGCCCCACGGTATGTTGTGCTCGTCCACTTTCACAGAACTCACCTTACCTTACCTTTTCCTCTACCTTTGTGTCTGTCTGTCTCTTTTACATCTGTGAATCACTCTTCTGTTCCCCCATCCTCTCGACTTTTTGTGACTTTGCCTGTTCCTCCCTTATGTGAAGCCCGAAGCCACCTAAAGGGCTAATGATGAATATCATAAATCCTGCCATTTGAATTCCTAAGTCATGATGTCATATGGAAGTAAAGTAGATGCATGAAGAAATTAAAAATTTGAACTAATTGAATTAACATGCTTAATGTTCCGAATGCCCATAAACATGCACATTGTATTAAGAATGCATAATGATGTATTTATTTGAGCGCAGGCTAATGCTTAGAGAGTCACTTGAAAATGTAGCGAATTAAACGACTCNGCTATTGCTGCGTTAGACAGAAACATTTTTGTGATTATTAAGTGAGTTTCCAATCATTTATTTATATCAAATGGCAGGCGTTTTGATGGTCATCATTAGCCCTTTAGTTGACTTCAGGCTTCACAGAGGGGAATGAACATCAAAATGAAAAAAGTAGAGAGGGGGGGGGACAGAAGAGTGTTTCAAAGACGAAGGTAGAAAAGGTAGAAAGAAGGTGAGATGCGTACTATGGAAGTAGTCGAATATGACAGTGGGATGATGGTAGTTTGAAGTCAGAAGTCAACTGCCGATTAATAGTCTATCGCAACTCCAGTTTCCAATCATAAATTAACTGAAATAGGGTGCTCAAGTACTACAGGGTAATTTCACCTTTAATTTCATAGTTCGTTTAATAAATCAGCCATATAACTCATTTATTGAGAAAAATAGGCGTTGAAGACTCATACACCATTTGCCTTTCTTTCTTCATGGCATTTTCCCCCATCACCCCGCTTTGAATTTCAAGTTGATATATTAATAATTAAACGAGAATGACTAAACAGTAGGTATTACAGATAGACTTACCTCCACGTGGTGCACCCTGGGCAACGTATACTCATACGGCAGAAAAGTCTATTAACCGGCATTTGACTTCTGACTTCAAACCACCACGACCCCCCTGCTTGTCATATTCGACCCCTACCACAGTACTCACCTTACCTTTTTCTCTACCTTTGTGTCTGTCTGCCTCTTTTACATCTGTGAATCGCTCTTCTGTTCCCCACCCCTCGACTTTCTGCTACTTTGATGAACCTTCCTTCTGTGAAGCCCGAAGTCAGCTAAATGGCTAATGATATCTATCAAAACGCCTGCCATTTGAAATAAATAAATAAATACATTCGCATAGGAAANTTTAAATTTGTCCCTAAATAAAGTACCATTCAATGAATGTATTCCACAATTTAAAATTATTTAGTAATTAAAAAGAATGAAGTTAGTACTCAAACGCTCTTCCTATGTACAGTCTAACGAGAAATGGTGCTTTCTAAGTGGCATTGGCAACATATACTCGGCAAAGAAGCCAATAGACAGGCAGTTGACTTCTGGCTTCAAATTACCATAGCCCCACGGTATGTTGTGCTCGTCCACTTTCACAGAACTCACCTTACCTTACCTTTTCCTCTACCTTTGTGTCTGTCTGTCTCTTTTACATCTGTGAATCACTCTTCTGTTCCCCCATCCTCTCGACTTTTTGTGACTTTGCCTGTTCCTCCCTTATGTGAAGCCCGAAGCCACCTAAAGGGCTAATGATGAATATCATAAATCCTGCCATTTGAATTCCTAAGTCATGATGTCATATGGAAGTAAAGTAGATGCATGAAGAAATTAAAAATTTGAACTAATTGAATTAACATGCTTAATGTTCCGAATGCCCATAAACATGCACATTGTATTAAGAATGCATAATGATGTATTTATTTGAGCGCAGGCTAATGCTTAGAGAGTCACTTGAAAATGTAGCGAATTAAACGACTCAAATAGGAATAATAATATTGATTGCGAATAAGTAGAAGCGTAAATTAAGTTCCTTTTATTCGAACTCTGAAGCCACTGCATACTTGAATTTTGACAGATATCTACAATATGTCCTGATATGCACAGTTCAAGGTGTAGGATTTCCTATCTTGAAAAAAGGTAGTTCAGATTATTTATTTATTCCAAATGGCAAGCGTTTTAATTGTTATCAATAGCCCTTTAGCTGACTTCGAGCTTCATAGAGGGGAGAAATATCCAAGTGAGAAAAGGACGAGGGGAGGAACAGAAGAGTGATTCGCAGATGTAAAAGAGACAGACAGACACAAAGGCAGAGAAAAGGTAAGGTGAGTACTGTGAAAGTGGTCGAATATGACATACAATGGGGTCATGATAGTCTAAAGTGAGAAGTCAACTGCCGGTTAATAGATTTTTTGCTGTATGAGTTCACGTTGCCCAACTTTTATGACATCTATTTCCGTATGCTGCTTGTAGCGGATTGCTGCGCTAGCAAGCCCTGACTATACTCAATGGTCTCAATGGCAAGTTTTAATAGTTTCCAAAGGCTCCCAGGATTAGCTAAACTGCCGTACGACGTGGAACTAGTTTATTGGAGGGTCTGTTTGTGGTGTTTTACAGAAGGGGTACTAGTCATAATATGCATTTTCTGACATGATGACCACGTACTGGCTTTGGCCGTTGATTGGTCGAGAGGCCTCCGCTATTATCATGCTAAAGTGGTGTTTCCCACAAGACGTTATGGACACAATGTAATGGAGTGATTTAATTGAAGATAACGCAATCTTTCCTTACAATTCATATTACATTACAGAAAAATTACCATCCACTCTGTCTTATTAGACTCTTTAGTGAGTAAATAGGAAGTAGTGTCAAATAATTACATATCTATTTAAATAGACTATTTCCTGACCTTTAATGTTGGTGTTCAATAGATCAGCACTCAAATAGTGAGTCAAACAGCTTGTCAAAGCAAGATAAAATCATATGCCATTCGATCGATCATTTTAAGCCCCCTGGAATTCGTGCGAATAGTGGGGATTTTTAATAGACGAAGAGAGCTATAGCAGTGTGAATCGAGCTTTGTCGCCAACAATATCATTTTGATGAAAAAATACTTGGAGGAATCTTTTAGATTGTGCAACTCATATTTCATCATTCGTTCATTGACCCAAATTTATTATTGGAATTAGTAAACAAATTCTCTGATTGTTTAGATGTCAATGTGCATTAAAAATCATGCTCAAGTGCACTAGCTCCATTACCGCAAGGCCGAAGCGAGAATGAGTTGAACCAGGAGAGAAAACAGATTCAGATATTGAGGATAGAAAATGACTCAAGCAAATGACAATACCAAGAAGTCAATAAGATAATTAAAAATTCGATAAGAGAATTATAACACATGGCACCGGTCATTACCCATTGAATCAATGGTCTCTGAATATCAAGAATACAGGCGTGTTATTTATGTCTATGAAGAACCAACGTCATTCATTAAAGTCGTTTCATTGATTGTTCCACTTAGTTAGAAAGCGTTTCGATAATGCGTGTTATATTGTTTGTCACACAATTTCTTCCTAAATGAAATACTCGAAATTAATCCACCTTCATAGTATTATAGTACTATGGCAATATAAACACCTTTCGGTTAGTAATTGAGACAAATTAATCGGCTTTTCTCTTGGTTACAAGGGGGGGGGGGTTAGGATCCAACGCTTTTCAGAAGAATAAGTCATGAAATTGGCCATACCAATCGATTGAGTTCAATGAGAATGAAATCATATACTGTGAAGGCAATGTCTATATAATCGTCTTAATTCTGCCCCAATTCACCAATTCTCTCACCGTTACCAATCGCCATTGAAAGACTTTCCAACACTCAAAAATAGTTTAAATCCGTCTAGTAGTATGCGATGGCATACGTACCAAGTTCAAAAGGCAGTTGATGTTGGAGTTGCTACCTACGAATGTCCAGAATTTATCATTTGTTTAGACCTAATTTACCTAGATAATAAAATCTATATAATAATAATAAAATAATGAACTGAATTCCAAGGATAAGACACAAACAACCACACAGTGACGAAATTACACGCACAAAGAGGGGATAAGCGAGTAATAATATCACAATGGGATTCTACAATACTGTAGTAAGAGGAAAGGGGGGGGAGATTGTAATGTATTCGTCATAGAAAGACATCTGATAGAGGGAGGAGGAGGAGGAGGGGGAGCGTGGAAGGCCTTCAGCGATTTGAATTGGTGAGAGCGGCACCATTACTTTGAAGAGTACTCTCTTCTCCATCGACCTTGGGAAAATCACCGGTAGAAAAGTAGGGGGCGGCATCTTTGACAAGGAGAGTATGACACATGTCGCAGACATGTGCAGGTCGAGAACGATTTCCAAAGGGCGGAATTACTTTAGTGAGGCAAGTGGGGCAGAAAATGGCTCCACAATGACGGCAGTTCTGTTTAGAGGAATTTACCAAATCAAAAGGTCGAGAGCATCCAGCACATTGAGTAACATCATCTGGTTCCTGCCACCGAACTTCATGGGTCTGTTCACGATGACGTTCCAGTTGAATCTAAAATGCATACCGGGTAAATAACATGGGCAAACGACAACATTGTATTGTCAAAAACATGGATCACAAACGAAACAACCTCATTAAAATAAATGGTGGAATTAGAGCACATTATGCGACCGAACCTCGTGAGTAGTCACCCTAGGGTACCTCTAGTAAACTATGCGCAATAAATCTTAAGTGCACATTACTACGCTACTAGCGAATTTAAATTCTCAATCAGATATGCTTTGAAATCTTTAGGATATTAGCTCAAACATGGGATTGGCAGGTTAAGTCTAATAAAAGTTGCAATAACAAACCTGAAGGTGCTGCGATAGACGAACAAAGTCTTGTGAAGTCTTCTCTGTGTTCTCCAAATCACGTTGAAGGTTCATCACTTTCACCCGCAGTTGAGCATTCTCCTCCCTACTTCGTTTTAATGCTTTCTCCTTCTCCACCAACTCCATCTTGAGGCAAAGAAATGAAAAGTGCATCAACATAAATAGTAGTAGTGTGCAATTATATGAGGATCTACTAAGAATTGAGAACATGGAAAAGTAAGCTAATTCAACAATAAACCTAAATTACCACAAAGCACAATAATGGATTCTAAGTAGATTCCAACACACAAACACCTAGGAAAACCTACCCTGGAGGATTTGGAGCTTCAGTGGAAGGAGAATCCTTTAAGAATCAAAATTATGGATGAGGCATTTTTCTCAAGTATTACTGAAGTACAGAATTTTGTGGACAAATAGTTGGTGGGTGGTCACCCATATCATTTAACAGCATTTACCAATGAATATAGATTTTCTGCTTAGTTTTATTAAAATCCTTTTATGAAACAATAACAAAGACTTAAACAGAGCATATTCTTGCAGAAGCCAATACGAAATTTCGTTGGAAAAACAAAAAAATGCTTCGACTTTGGTCATGTAAGGAAGAAATTCCGAATTCTGTTCGATCAAGTAAATAAAAAAATGCATTTCTTGAGCAGGTGTAACTACCTAACCGCATTGATATCAATAAGTGGGAAAGCTAAAAGAGCTTTACCCCCTATGACGTCAACAAAATTCCCATAAAGGAAGAGAATTTTACTTTAGAGGCCGGAGTCACTGAAATTACCAAAGAAGAATCCAACTTGACTTCTTTCAAAAATCCGACCGTTTAGATTCAAAAGAAAAAAAAACTTGAAATATAAACGGCGAAAATCTTTAAACAAAGAAATTATTAAATACAGTGACAAATTTGGCTATGGGACATGTACTTACACCTGTGAGAATTTTTAGTTAGTAACTACCAATAATACGGTGGAGACTGACAAAGAAGTTGAAAATATAACTTCTACACAACGAATCTGTGATTGGACGAAATCGATCTCTCGGGGGTACGTACAGTCTCAATTAGTACATAGACATGTGGTTGGTATACATAAATAGAAGTGAGTACAAAATAGTGTCGTCAAGCTAATGTAGGGAATATGAATCACCTCCAAAACCGCTCCTCACAAATCCTGAGTGCTTCAATCACTATAGTCCCCAATTTTCGTTTTGTGTAATCATTGCGATTTTAGGAATTAGAAATCTGAATTCTAAGTAAATAAACTTTTACCTTAGTCAAAATCAAAACGAATTTAAATTGTACTGAAATGAATTCAGTAGATAGTTTGAAAGAGGAATTTATCTAGTACATCTCGGTGACTTCTTCATTCTCCAACGACTCACCTGGTGTCGTTTTAGGTCAATGGTGGCTCGTTCAGCAGCCTTTTCCAAGGACTGTCTGGTGGCAGCCGCTGCTTGGGCTATCTCTAGCAGTTTGGTCAACTCCGCGATGCGTTCATTAGCGTCAATGGTGCGTTGTCGAAGCAACTTTTCTGCCTGAATTCGTTTGTTCCGCTCCTCATTTAACTTGTCCTTATTGATTGACATTTCAACGTCTAGACGGTTACGCAGATGTTCGCATGATACACTAAAGGAAGAAAATATTCGAAATCAGACACAAATTTCAACAACATTAGCGTAGAAATTCTAACTAGACTTGTTGGTCCTCTTCACTCACTCTCGTGTGCCAGGGATAAAAATAAAACGGATTCCATCTGATTACAAATCATTGCTAACACTCTCCTCATGCAAACCTTTAACAAGCATAAGTGAGCATTTCATTTGCCAAATCGCTAAAATATTTAGATACTTTTATAAACTTTATTTGACTTAAATGGGTTATCAGCTTCCAATATTTTAGGGTCCACCTGAAGAATTAAGCACTTAAATAGAGAAAAAAAGTACACTGGACCGAGGAACTCAGAATGCAGACTAGTTATCACCAAAATGGAGAGTGAAGGCATATTTGTAATGGCTAACCCCTGCGTTCTCATTCGCAGGAATTACGCTGACATTATCAACCTTAATATCTCCTCTTTCATGCCAAATTCTAGGTGTCAGAACACTGGGCATTGCAAAAAATGGTGCTCCTGATGATGTAAAATCAGATCAAATTAGGACAAGAAAACCAATACACTGCTTATTAAACAAGCCCAATTTCGGTAATCCTACTTTGTTGAAAGGAGTTCCTCTCTCATTTGAAGGGCATACAGTTCCAGATCCCCCCTCTCAGAAGGCAGATCGATGGGAGCAGACATTTCAGCCGCAGCGTTGCGTCTCTTACCCAAGAGGGTACGGTAGTGCTCCTCAATTTCTGACATTTCCATCTGAGCTGTCAGGCGTTCGTGTTCCAAACGACCGAGTTCGGTTTCTGTTGAACGGCGATATGCCTGTTGAGGAAGGAAAAATAGCAAAGTAATAGAAATCAAATGTCGTAAATTCGTGAGAAATCCCTAGATTCAGAAGGTTGTTCGAAATTTACCGAATAGGTATAATACGCTACATTATGACTAACGATTCAAAAGTTTAAACAGTAGGATCTGATCACAAGTTCATTTTTCCGATTTTCAGAGTTTGTTGACTATTTGCCTAGTAAAAGGCCCAAAGAATACATTTTTTTCAATAATCAAGAGCACATAGTTAATGGTAGCAGTGTTCACTTGCAAATAATCCACGTATTTACTCCTTCGACATTAGCGCATATAAAAAACCATTAGAATAGTAGCATTAATCTGACCTCCGATCCCTATGTTTGTACCAATAATTCCCAAATTCAATTGGGAGAGTGTTAGACAACGCCCATCTGGGCTAGAAAGTGGAAGCATAGAACCTTCTTGCCGGAGAACTCGAATTCTGTCACCCTCAAGTCAGCCAATGATCTCTGACTTTGTATACGCCCACGGTGACCCATGTGTCATTAGCACCCACGATGGTAGTTAATCACATCAAAATAATATGTAATTTCCCCTAAATAGTCTATATGAAAGCAACATGTGCTCTCAGTGTCAAAGCCCTAGTTATTAACCATGTAAATAAGTTAGACAAGGTCTGTGGGAGTACCCAAGTCTAGTGCGACTCTAAGTTGGATGTCTAGGTGAGCAATGTGAACAAGAACCAGCGCAGCGAGAAGAAACTATTGCAAGTTAAAACAAATTGTGTTGGTGGTATTATCGACCAATCCGGTATATTTGGCTAACCACAGCTACCCATCTTTCTTGATTAATGATAGCACATGAAAGCGCATCTTCGCTGACAAAACCCAGAATTTAGAGTGAACGCCATCTAATTCCCTTCAAAGTTGACCTCCAGCCAAATTTAGCACTCAAATATCTAAACCCATTACTATTTGAACTCTATGGAAATCTCAACCCAAAGTGAGTGTTGAAAAACGCATTAAAGACTCGTGCGTCAGTGAAATTGTCAACTATCGTGTTTGCTAGATCCGAGGTTACGATACCGAGGTTCATCAGTGCACCCATAGCGATGTGGATCTCCAACCGTAAGGGGTTGATTATGATCAAACAAATGCCTTTAGAGAGAAATCCGAGAATTCCTCTCCTCTATTCAAGTCAATAGCCATTGACATCTACCACAACAGATGTGTAAAGTTGTATTTTCAGCCGAAATACCCAATCTTAATTCGGTAAATAGCTTAACTATCTAAATTTTGGTTAAATAGAGGATTCAGATGTTGTATTGCTTCAAATTATAACTTAAGTGGATTGAGCATGTGGATTGTGGAAATGATTAGTGAAACAAAGTACTCAAATAGTGGTCTTGGTCACGAGGACTGAAATCACCTTTAAGGCCTCTTTCGCACACACACACACACACACACACACACACACACACACACATGAGAAAGCTAAGCTGGGAGATCATGAATCTTAGTGAATCATCAACCAGGTAAATTAATTTAACTGGTTGAGACAATGAATCCAATGACAGTAGTGAAATCTTTTGTTGGAGATTAATCCCTTATCCCTTGTTTGCTTTTGTAGGAGAAATAAGAATAATAACAGACAATAAAAATGATTAATACATGAAGTTACATGTGTATGTTGCAACATATGCTGGAGAAATAAATAACAAACAAACGCTCTACCAATTCAGGAGGAAACTAGGGGACAGATGTCAATGTCAGAATGTCAATGAAGTAAAACCCCTTTCGAGCTTTCTTTATCAAGATTAAACCATTCAATGCGCTGCAGGTCTTTTGCCTCCATTTATTAAGTCTGGGTATTTGGAGCAACTCTGAGCGACATAAACAATGACCTAAAGCAAGAAACTTACCTGGTAATCCTTGAGCATAACCTTTATGCGTTCATCAAGGTTTTCAATACGTTCCTCATAAGAGGCCGTCTGCTCTTCAAAGAGGTTTTTCTCTGCCTTTGCACGCCCTTGCGTCTCCTCCAAAACCCTTTTCATTGTATGGAGATCTGCCACCGTCGCGCTCAAGCGATTACTCACTGACTAAATTAATGAAATAGAAAATGAGAAAGGAAAATTATAATGTCAATGCAATTTAGTTGAAAAGCAAACAAAATGGATTCCCATTAAAGGAATTCTAAGTGGTAAAAAAGTATAAATGAACTGGGGCATAACAGATAACTTCAAATCCATTAAGTACCATCAACAACTGATCTTCATTAGGCAAACACTTCTCAGAAAACGTTATCATTGGAGGAGCTAGTAATTTATGAGTTCGTTTGTGAAAATATAAGAGTACTGTGCCACGAATAAATCTCAACATTACTGGTTATTCTGGATCTTCTAAGGAATACAAGCAATAAAAATATTACCTATATTCGGAGAGAATATCCCTTCTCTGAGCATGAGTGTAGGTTCAAGTAACCACGATATTAAGCTGGCTTATTATTAAGTAAACACTAGTTAGAACGTCATTCTAACCGATTTGTATAAGTTGAATTTGTTTTCCGGAAGATAACATTAGAAAGAAGTAGAAAGGAAATATCAATGCATGCACTCTTTACTTCCAGAAATTGTACATTACACCTTAAACTCTAGAAGCTACTCGATTTAATTCCTTCAGCATTCGTAGCCGGAAGAGATCGACAGGTTAAAAAGGGATCAATGTGGCCACAACAAGTTATATTAATTACCTATTTGGAGCATGAAATCAGAAAAGAGAGAATCGACGACCTTTAAGAAAACAACGCATAAATACTGTTACACCTTGTCCTTCTCAACACGTCGTCATCATTTTTTCTTTACTATACTCAAATGTCGAGCCAACAAAGAAGCGAAGGTTCGACTACCTTGACCGCCTGTTATGAAGGTAGATGGCAAAACTACAAAATATACAGGCAAACAAGTCCGATTAAAATGAAGTACAAGAACTGCAATACCGACTGAAAGAACTAATTTTCCAGCTCAATTAAGGAGGCACTTTACAACACTCATAAAGTTTCTGTTGTCAATCAAGCACAACAATTGAGATTGACAGTCCCACTCAATGGGTGAACACCAATGACATTGATTTGGTGACTTCTGAATTTGCGGACGAGCACATCAACCGATACCACAGTGGAGAATACCTTCTATTATTCAATATAAGAAGAAAAATCTACCATCTTGCAAAACCTCTTTCAGCTGGATCTACGTCGATATTAAATTTGTGAACCATGACGTGATTATATGCAAGTTAACGACTGGACACTAAAAAATCAGGTATGTAAGAAATAGTTAACGCTGGAACTACCAAACTATTATTGCTGATAAATAAGGAGAAACTATCAAGTTCAATCCAAATAAGAGCTTACAGTGTGCTCTTTTTGAAGTGCCTTAAATCGTTCCTCCCAGTTCTTGCAACCTTCACAAGGAGGATGATCAGAAGACGTGCCAATCAAACTAGATGTAAGTCCTTCCCCCTCTAAGTCCGAATCTGCAAAAGGACGGTCGGTGGTAGAAAGTCGACCCATTGAAGTTGTCAAAACTTCAGATGAAGAGGAAGGAACAGGGGAGCATGGAGGTGGCCTTGTGGGCTCGAAAGGTTTTTCTGTCTTTTTTTCAACATCAGAAGCAGTAGATGATGTTGGAGATGATGAAACTATTAGAAAAATATAGAAATAATCACCCGTTACTGTTATGCATTGGAGTGCTGACTACGATCTAGATGCAACAGATTCCTATTGACCTGCATTTGTTCACGTATAATACAATAAGCGCGTAAAAATGCCTATGCACCAAATCCTCGTGCTACATTTTTCTATTACCAGATGTGCACCCTTAGATAGAAATCTCAAATTCAAGGTTAGTCGATATAAGAAAACGATTAAAACCTTAAGAACTAATACAAACATGAAAAATGAATGCCAAAATATACAAAAAAGTCAAAAGATATCATCCTTCAATATGCTAGAAATTCTATCGTTTATTTGTATGGCCTACGGGATCTTTAAGTGTATGTACGTATATAATGACAAGTGGTAACTTACGTCGTTCTGATGCGTTAGTGGAAAGCATATGAGGCCTTGTGAATAATAGTTAACTACAAAAAAGAGAAATGTTAAACAAATAAGATCCAAAAAATCAATGGATGGATATGCTGGTATTTTGGCGCACTTTTTAATATGCATGACAGGTCATATATTCAGAAGTAAGTTAAAGTGACATATTTTACATGGATAAAGGTATTAGATATTTGAATGAAAATTTGTGGTAAAAAAAACCGGCAAGAAGAGGAGCACACAAACAGAGGTTTTACAATTGGAAATGGCCTTGGAAATGAGGGATAAAACGCTAGATAAAGGATTTCGTATTTTATGAAATTTCAAAGAATTCAAATATTTGAATATCAAAAACAATCTTTTTAATGTTCTAAATTTTGTTCAGGAATTGATTTTTAATTAAAATAATGCTGCTTTATTCATACTTTGTATTAGATACATATATTTAAGTAGTATATATATATATATATATAAAGCGGAAATAAATTATCAAATTTAAGTTGAATGGTAAAGAACGTACAAACAAGAAAATGCTAGTTGGGAATAAATTTTGTATGATTTATAAATACTCGATGAAGTTTACCTGACTCTAACATTAACGTATTTTCCTAGCATGTATTAACTAAATACCAACTAGGGAAACAGAATGGGAGCGAATCAAGCGGGAATTGAGTTGTATGATACCCACTGCAACACCTTCACCCCACCCACTCCTCCTTAATCAATTGCGTTGGTGTCTATGTTGCACTAAAATCAACATCGCCATTTCTCAGTAGAAATATTTTAAATACTTAAACTATTAAAAAATCTTGTTGCTAACCCAAAATCTAAATTAGAATACAAACTTTCCTCTTATATAATTATTCATTACTCTATCTCTCTCTAGGATGCCCCCTCCCCCCCCCCCCCCCCCCCCTCCGTCAGTTGAACACTGACTATCATCGTTAATTCTCCGCAAAATACCCCGCTTGTCAAGTCTGACTTCTTTCTCCACTCGGTTTTGGGCCTACTTTCAAATTTCATAAATATAACAACTGGTGTCAATGTGTTTAAATAAATTAATTTACTAATTTGCCCAAATGAAAGGTGAAGACAATTAGTGAATAACCAACCATTTTTCAGCCGAGATTTTAAAGGCTAAAATAAATCCAGAAGTATGTTTCCTAAGCATTGAAATAAGACGCTAGCTGCAGGATACTTTTTGAGGAAAATGGAACAATGATCTTGCATTTTCGAATGGATAACGATCCCTTAAACACAATGAATAGTAAGAATTTCCAGTGGCCAAATTCCACTTTCCTTCAAGGGCATGGATGGCTGAAAGGACATGTATCAAAACGTCCTTCCAAGTCTTTTCTCAAATGGTTTCCTCTCGTCTATATGTATGAAATCGCTGGTCTAAACTGTAAACATTATTAATAAACAGACACGTTAATGCCGGCTGATCCTTTAAAGACGAATATCTTTTCAAGACATTCGCTTATAAGATATGTATTAAATTACTCGTATCAATTTGGCATACATTTTAAGAGCAAGAAAAAGGTAAAATATCTTACCCTTTAAGTCTTCACTCCGACATTGGGGGTTAAAGTTTAGTTGGAAGATACGAAACACTGTTTAACTAATCAGTCGGTAGACCCATTGCAGTTTGAGAAATCATAACCAATACTGATAACGTTCAAGGCCAGTGCTAGTTATAAACAAGGATTCAATTAAATTTATCATGAGTTTCCAGCCAATCCTTACATTCGTCAAAAGAACCTAAGTTCATTATGAACTCTTTATTTGCTAACAAAGATGAAAGTGGTCGAAAAACTCATTTTGGTCACTAAATTTTTCCCGTAGGTCTTTTGCAGTTGTAACATTATAGGCTAACTACTTTATGATAGTTATGACTTATATCTTGGAGAGTTAGAATTTTAATTCTTTATTTCGGCTGGTCACTTCAACGAATGAAGCTTTCCAGTACCGGGCCACTTAACTTGCCTTAGCTCAAAAGCACTTCATTACCAGAGCTTCCAATTCAAACTTCTCCCAATAAAGTTAAATTCTGTCCAATTTCGAAAGTCTGTTGTAATGTTCCGTTAAACCATCATCTAAGATTCCATTGAACTTGATTGTAAGTTGATTTCAATAATATTTTACCGAGGGAGAGAAAAAATGTGAAATCTGGAGGGTTGGGTCATGAAGCATATCATGCCTTTAAGGCTCTATTTCAATCAGATGATAGCAAGATAATTCAACTGAGCCTTGCCTTGGCATCTTCTTACAAGAAGTGAAACTTGCCCCTTAGGTGCACAAACTTTCCACATTCTTCAATTCATTATTAGATTCCATCGATAACGCTTTAAAGAGCTTGTTAACAGGTTGATTGAAGTGGCCATGCCATCTCGCTCGTATGATATCTAGCAAGAAATCGCTTAATGTGATCTTCAGAGCTTGATAACTACTTTCCTACAGACGTGTGACACGTACACCTGTGGCACCTAATACAGATGATCAGAAACATAACGGACAGCGTGATATTAAGCATAATATATTTTAATTTTTTGACTTCAAATAAATATGATTGTAAATAAACAATTGGAAGTTTGAGCAGACTTAATCGAGAGAAAATCATGTGTACATCACCAATCTGATGTATTATATTCAGCAGTTAGAAGTGAAGCCCATTATAATTGGTTTAAGAACTCACCTGGTCTATTAACCATGTGCTTTCACTTTCATAATGCAGGAGGCAATAAGACTGATAATGAAGAAAGAAGAATTCTTCATTTTGGAAAACTAATTTTATCTATTAAAAATAAAATGTGACTATTCAAGAGAACTCTATCTGTTCTACCTTCCTAACCACCACTACATACCTAAAGTGCCAAACATCTCTATCGATTTCCGTCCAATTAAAGAGAGATTACTTCAACATTGCCTTCAATGCTGACATTGTATTTCATTCGAGTCTCTTCAAATGACCCTTTGAGAAATTACAAGCAATGCCAACACATCACTCTGAGCTGAGTAGTGATGAGGCACGAATTCATGACCCCAATGAAACGCCAACTCTCGAGACAATGGAAACAATTATCATATAGAGGGGATTCGAGACGAGAGGTTGTCAGTTTAGTCTACTCCTAAACAGCTTATAAGTAATTTGACTGGATTATCGTCTGATTAGCGTGTGACCAATGTCAACTTAATTAAGTCGCATTGAATTGGTGCAATTTTTACTATTACAGAGTATTATGTATATATATATATATATATATATTCACACATACAAGCCCATTTCAATCTTGAAGGCTAATTTTAGCTAAAGTCCGATTGGAGATTTTATGGCAGTAAGGTCTGTCCACACAGTTTACATGCCATGGTTATTGCTACTTATTGAAGTTTATTCTTAATTAAACCATTTTATTTTATGCCTATCAGTGGCATCCTCCGTGAATATCAGCATTTTTCAACTCCATTTGCATTTCACTTATGTGGTTAAGCAGGCAGACAACAAAAAGAAAGAGAGTGAATAAGAAAATATATTACAATAATGAATCTAAGAATCTACCATGACTATGCGCATTTTATTCCTCAATCTGTCTCAGTTTAAGGCGAATACAATCAGTGATTGCTGACTTCTTATTGCCAACAAAGCTTTCAACTTCTCCATCACAATAAACTCTTGTTGTTGGAATGTGGTCAATTCCGTGAATTGCTGAAATGCTCTATTAAATATTTCAAAATAGCAATAAATCAATGCTCCTTCTTTCTTATCACTCATAAAATAGCTAAAAACAATTTTACCTCACAATCCTCCACATCAACTTCAACGTACATGGGTCCATCGATCTCTGCGGCTATGTTTTCGAATACACTCTTGAATTCTCGACAGGCCCCACATCTTGGCGCAAAAAACTTACAGACAACAAGCCTGTTTTCTTTTATAAGAGAACTGAGATCCTGGTGACAAAATAATATGCACGATTCAACCAAAATAGTTTAAGAATCCAATTTAAAAAGAATAAAGGAACAGACATATCTCCACACACTATATCACTTACATCACAGTTTACTTTCTGTATTAAAGACATTTTCATAGAATATCTTCGATAAATTGAAGCATGGAACCTTTAATACCTTTCATTTCTCACTTCAAGGTCATTACAAAACCTACAAAATTCATACTTGTTTATACTTGAATGCATAAAAACAAATATATCCATTTCATTCAATGTTTTCCTTATAACATTTTTGGCTTGTTGTGCAACGTTTGCTGAAGTAATTAAGTAGAGAAGTACGAAGATGATTTCCACTTCATCATTTTATTTCAAAATATCAGAGGCCAAAGTTCGAGCGTGAGAAACACCATAGCTTTTGATTCTAATGGAATCATTTTAGAAAATGTGCGTATTGAAAAAGTGAGGTTTTATCATATATTTCAGTTATTTTGACAGCAAAATCAAAAATTAGTTTTGCACAGTGACGTGAGATCGTTTAATTGAGCCATCCCTAATAGAAAATTTAATAGCGTCAATTTGTAGAGTGCTGAAAACTTCGGGCATTGTAAAAATATCTGTTGGGAGGAAGTGAGTGCTAGAATATGATTCGTCCTTTTCTTCTCCTATTTGCAGGAATTTTCGGATCTTTTCGAAAAACATAAACTACTTTTACACATTTTTATTGATCACTTGGACGGTCGGATTAACTAGAAAAGCAAGCTAATGACCATACCAATTTTACCTTTTTTTAATGTCGATGCATATGAATTAAAAGTTAAATTTGTTCTGATTGAGGAGTGTTGGATGCTGTTTAAATCATTAATATAAGTCGTACATATATTGTCAAGATTTTACTGTTTGGCACGAAATTTTGGTTAAGCCAACAGTCATTTTCTTCAGGAAGAGCGAAAGACTTGCTAACGTTAAAGCAAACAAACTTAATGAAATTAAAAGTCATACTGAAAATCTATAGTCAATATTTTTAATCAATTCTTACCAAGAAAAATTTTATAACACCTTCCCTTAGCTATTCATTCTGCAGTTTCTTTGGCAGATTTGTCAACAAATTGGTACTGTGCCAATTGGGATTTGTGGGTTTCTTCATCAGATCATTAACACACGTATTGCAGAACCACCACTCAAAAGAATACTAATTCCCCTAATTTATGCTAACATTGATTAATTGATCATTAAGGTGTTTAATGGTGCAGTATTAGTTTATTTTTTCCAGGAAAATGAAACATTGAATATTTGTCTTTCAGTATAATTATTTATGTGCTTATCATGGCTCATTCTTATGATTCGAAAAGAACACGGTTTGACACCATTATTCGAAAGCAATCTATAAGCCAATTGGACTTTAGGAAAAACATTGGAGTAATATGCTTTATTCGAACGTTTAATTTTAGAGTTGATTTCAAAATACAAAATGCTATTCGATGTATTGCCTGAGCAATTACCTCTTCTATCTCCCTCAAATTGGTGATTCCTATGATTATTGAATGCAATCGGCCATTACCAGAAAATTTTCACAAAATCACCAAAGTTCATGTTTAGAACTCAAATCGACAATAATACGTTAAATTTGAAGACAAATTTTTTTATTTTCACATACCTCTAGCTCTTAAATAGGTGATAAACGCATGTAAATACGAATTTCATTCTATTTCTTGTTTTGTTTATGAATAACAAATTTATTTTCTGAATCATAATTTTAAAAACAATAAATAATGTCGCCTTTATTAAATATAAATAGAGAACAAGTTTAAAGCCTTTTATTGTTTCGACGGCATGTGATTAATGTGACCTCGGTTTCTTTGATAGAACCACAGATAAATGTCAAAAATACCGCATCATTTTAAATTAGCCTAAATGGCGTCAACAGTCAAGCATATTTCAAGTAAAAAGGTGATTTATTAGAATTGATAAGTATTGATCTCAGTATATATATTTTAATTTATTTGAATGTTCTTGACAGGAGTTTGAGGATCTTCTCAAAGGCGATAAACTCGTCGTATGTGATTTCTATGCTACTTGGTGTGGACCTTGCAAAGCCATTGCCCCGAAATTAGAAGCTTTGGCAAAGGAGCATACTGATGTTGTATTCGCCAAAGTCGATGTAGACGAATTGGAAGTGTGTGTCTTTTTAATAAATTTTTCTTTTAAATATTAATATTTACTAATATTTTCGGGCTATTTTTAGGACCTAGCTCATGAACATGACATATTAGCGATGCCCACAATTGTTCTTTTCAAAAAAGGCGCTTCTGTAGGTCGCTCGATTGGAGCCGCTATCGAAAAGGTGAAGACTGAAATTGCTAAACATTCAAGTTAATATTTAAATATAGCTATTTATGCAGCAGAACTTCGATAACTTTAGCCTAGAAGGCTTTTTAATTATTTAAACTTAAATATCTATTTGGGAACAATTTTTCCCTTTAAATTAGTTTTTTTTCTAATGATATCAGATTTGTATGTTAATTACTCGTTGTGATCGGCATAAAATTTATAACTCAAGCGGTTTTGCTCATTATGTTTTTATTTGATTTCGCATTTCCCAGTTTGCTCCCCCACATTGCGAGACACTTATCTCATACGCATACCCATTCTAATCACTAATTGGCCAATTGCCATGCACCAATTGTCTGACGTTTTATCTACAAACAGTTTGATCTCCAACCAGCTTCACTGAAAGAATACGTCAATCTTCTGTAGCGATATTTTGCTGCTGCGAAATTGATGACTTTCTAAAAGATTTAAAGAGCTGATTTTGATGTTATATGATAGCTCGAGAGATAACTGCTCTAAACTATTTATGCTTGTGTGGGAACAGTTTAGAGAATGGAATACAGCTCGTGTTTAAGGGTCAATTTTGCTTATTGGGGTGTTGTAGAAATCACCTTGGCCCCCGGGCTGTCACTTGAACTCTCACTTAAGATAGATGTTTGTGGAGGAATGAGAATATTTGTTGTTGGTCTTCGAGCAAGTATTTCGGATTAAAAAGCTTGGCAGCTTACTGGGAGTAATAGAATAACAAGGGCCTAGTCTTTGTTAAATACTTCATTGAGTTGTAAATTCAGAAAATTGTTTGATCTTTTATGTTAAATGCTGACGTTGTTCAAATCGTAGAATGGAGGGACGGTGACTGGCGACTAGTCGACAGGTAGAGGTAATATACCAAGGAAAAGAAGAGTCCACAAATGGTATAATTTGATGTTTTGGTTAATTTATTTGTGCAGAGATTGTGGTGACTATTTAGAAATAAAGTGGAAGTTAGTATTTATGAGCAGCTGAGAGCAGGAGAGGAGTGAAGTGAACTTGAATCTTGGAATTTGGCGTGACCACGAGAGAAACTAAATGTGTGCCTTCAATGAAATCGGAATGTCCAATTTTTCACAATGGGTGATGTGCATTTTCAATGGTCAAATATTAGAGTCTAATTTCTATGATTTGATGTCCAATTTCGTGAGTGTGTTCTTTCCGCGTTATTTAGAAGCCTTCTGACCAGTTGGGTCAATTGAGTGGTTGATCTTGTCACTTTGATGCATTTGTATTTCTTACATTGATGGGTTGGTAGTGGTGACTGGTGGAAGTATATTGAACAGGACTCAAACACTCTTCAGATTTGCCTGGAATTTCAGGTCGGGTCCTTATAAGTTTAGCGAGTTGCGAATGTGTTAGTCACTAGGCGCTTTATCTACTCGATTGAAATGATAATGGTCGAATTGTAACTGCTACGTTATAAGAAGAAACTTGGATCAGAACTGCTAAAAAGTGAGCTTGTTGACTCTCCAGTCAGTTTAATTTAATCAAAAATTGCCATTGTCCATTTCACAGGATGAAACAGACTCTTTATCCATGGTCAACATGGCACTGTCACAAATTTAGCGAAAGGATGATAGAAAGAAAGGTGCGCTCAATCCAATCGGACATTTTGAATAAATTTTTAAATTTATCGATTGCAACCCCCCTATACCTTCGAGTTACAAATATTTGTCCACAATGAAATTTCTAATCAAATTTACTAATGAATGGTATCTGAATAGTTCATACCGATAAATGTCAGTGACCATTTCGCAAACCTGTTACCAGATTATGGAATGACCACTTTGTTTTATCAATTGAATTGTAAGTGAATTTAATTTTATATTTTCTTTTATTTACCAATTCTAACGTGAGATTTTTATGTTCGATTCCTCATGATTTTTCAATGATTTTTTTATGAAACGGATTGTAAAAGCTCTTAAAAGCCCTGGTATATATAATTATGTTAGAATTTAAAATAAATTACCAATCAATAATACCTGAACAGTTTGTTATGTAATATCCTTTCAAGCATCGCTTAATTCATATATGGGATCACGTCATAGAATTGTTGCTTTGCTTTAAAATTCCGATATCCTCTATGACATTGAATGCTTTTTACGATCAGTTAGTTTTAATTTACTGCTCTAGACGTGTTTAAATGGGACGAAAGTCCATAGTTGAAAGCAAATTGCACCCGAAACTCCTTGTTTGTCATGGCTCTACACTCGTCAAGTTATCTGCTACTAAAATTTTGTTTTCAGATCGCTCGTCTATGCGTCCTTTCATTTTGATGATTTAGCAAATTCAAAAAAAACAAAGTTTCATGTGAATTCCAGGTCTTCCTTTCTTCGCATTAGCAGTAAAAAGAAAACGCTCTAGCGTGTGTTTTGTGTGACCGAGTCGTCAGAGTATTCACAAATTTTTCCATGGAATCGATGCTACCAAAGCTTCATAATGACAATTATAGTTATGAATAATGTTTGCTTTGAGCAGAGGTTAGAGTTCTTAGTTGAATTTGGCACTCAAACTCGAAAAAAAACACATATTTGCATTCTCGTTTTCGTATATTTCAACTTCTCTATTTTCATAAGTAATGATTTCGGAAATATTCAGGCCAACGATATCTTTCTTTCCGTGAAAGTCACCCATCTGTTTTTTCACTATATTTACCAAAAAATAATTTGGTAACATTCAATATGATAGTATAAGGTACAGTGCAATTTTTTCCTGATCAGATCCACATGTCCTCATAAGGCTGTGATACTTTACAAGTAATTGGAAAATCCTTTAACAAAATTTATTTTCAGCCTTTTGTAGATGGAGATAGATCGCACTTTTGAGGAGTTCAACATTATTTATTTATTTCAAATGGCAGGCATTTTGATAGTTATCATTAGCCCTTTAGTTGACTTCGGACTTCACAGAAGGGAGGAACATTAAAGTGAGAAAAATTCGACAGGAGGAAAGAAGAGCGATTCACAGATGTAACCGACAGACACAAAGGCAGAGAAAAGGCTAGATGAGTACTGTGAAAGGGGTCGAATATGACATACAGTGGGGTTATGAAAGTTTGAAGTCAGAGGTCAACTGCCAGTTAATAGACATTATTTGAGTTTAAATTTGCTTCTCTCATGATTGATTTACTTGGCAACCATTAATGGCTTGGATTCGAAAATGGTTGGTGACAATAGCAATAGAAATTGGTATTTTAATAACGAGGATCTAATTTTTGTTTTTTTTCCCACACATTTCACAAACTAGTTACAAATCAGTCGACGGAGGGAAGCTTATCTCGCGAAAAAAATTGTTTCAATTATTTTTAAATTATAATTAAGTGTTCGAATTGCCGCTCCTAATTATTCAAATTCCAGCTGCAATTCACGATTATAATGAAAGAGATAAGTCTCATGTTTTAATAAAGCCGCCACGAGGACAATTCCGGTGTTTTACGAAACTAAAGTG